CACAGTGAGAGGAGAAGAAGCCCCATCAAAGCCCCATCACAGAGAGCCTCTACACTAGCCTTTGATCAACACCCAAATTTGGCCTTGATTGAATTTGTGTCTAAACCTTTCACCATGACCAGAGGCCCAATCCCTAGCCTCCTTGGACCTCCACGAACATGTCGAGCACCTCTGATTGAAGCTTCCCTTCTCAGAGCAAAGGTATTGAACTTCCCCTCTTCCCGAGCCTATTTTGATTCTCCATGTGATTAGGGTTAATTTAATGGCATGTTTATCGTATGGATATGTTTGTCTTACTTAGACGAGTCTATAGAATCAAACCCAAGGTCAGTTGGTTGAGAAATGAGGGAGATCTTAAGGTTTTAGGGTTAACGATTATGGGCCACACTAGTTGGGGACAAAGACGCGGATGGCGCGTATATCAAATGGATGGTTGAGATGAAGCTAAACAACACTTTGATACATAAAGCGTGGGTTGAGTCAGCGGCTATGTGGATGGTGACACGCCTAAGAAATGCTTAATTTTTCATATACATTTTATGCTTAATTTTAATGATATTGCTCTTTAAAGAAAGTTATTTTGCATATTTTTGGTTTCCGGTACAAGAAATGAACTTTTGTAGAAAAAGAAACAAAAACGGTGCAATTGGGAGCAAAAACAAGCACGAAATGAAATTTTGCCCTGTCACCTTTCTATAAGTCTTTCGATGTTTAATCTCTTTTACACTTCTTGCATATTTTTGAATGAGATTACACTTTAAAGGAAAGTTGTTTTCATGCTTTCTTGTAGGGCTATCTGTTAGGAACACAATGCAACTGAAATGAGGCGAAACAGAGCTAAAAAGGAGAGAGCTAAAACGGAGCCAAACGAAGCGAAACGGTGAAGCTGCATAGTCTGCTCGCTGATGGCGCCCAGAACGATGCCAACGATGAGATTTACCTGAGAAGACCAAAAAATGAAAAAAAAGCTCACCGACGAGACCCTCGAGCCCGCCGACGGTGCCTGGAACGACTATGGACCGACTTTTGGCGGTTATGGGCCGAAATTCAACATTTTTGGACGCTTTTTGAAAGGATTCTTGTGGCAACTCTTCAAACTTCCTCCCTACACTTTAAAAGAACGAATTTAGGTTAGAAAAGTGGCTATTTTTAGAGTTTTTCTGTGAGAGGAATGTTAGGAAAAGTGTGGAGAAAATTTAGGGTTTTTAGAATAGGAGTAGAAATGTAGATTTCTACCCGTTTGGAGAGATTGGAGAGGAGATTTTGAGAGAATTTGTAAGGAGATGTTCTAGCATTGCATGGATCGGCAGGAGACTTTGTAGGAGAGATATTCGTCTTTCTTTCAAAGGGAAAAAAAACTAAGTATTGTGTTCTTCATTATCTTTTGATTTTTGTAAACACTTATCTAGTGGATTTGCTTTGGTTAAATGAAGTTTCTGTTGTGTTTTCTTCGTGCTTTGTGATGGGCTTCTCTTACTCTTTCTTCTTCTTCTTTGGAAATAGTGGCATGAGAAGATTATGTTATTGTTTTCACTTTACTTTTCTTTTGAAACGAGCATAATTCATGTTTAGGATTTTGAGATTCTTGTTAGAAGAAGATTTAGTTATAAATGTGATGGTTTTTACTTGCACTTCATTTACATTATAACAAGGGCCCGTTGTAGTGTAAAATTTGTTGTAATTTCATTGATCCGAAAGGGCGGTGTAATTCTCAACAAAGTGGAACCACATTCAAATTCTATGGATGGTGACATTTATGGGAGTTGAGTGCAAATAAACATGGAAATATACATTGATGGGCATAAAATTGGAGATTTTAGGGTGACAGACTAAAATCCCCAATTTGGTCCTAAGATTTAGAAACTGAAGTGGAGATGTTAGCCCTCAGGCAAGGGGAATGTGGGAGCTCCAAAGTGAGAGCCGGTATCCTCCCAGCTTAGCCACGGATTCAGGAAACAAGCATAGGATTAGTCAATGTTCTTTATGCCTGGACCAAAGAGTAAGGAATAGGATTGCTCATATTTGGCACATATAATATTTAATGCATCTCATTCCCTTACATTATCCAATTCATTACGTAAGAATAGTAGTTTTTAATATCTCAAAATTTTTCAAACCAATTCATCCAAAAAGGGTTATCTTTAGAATTAATATTTGCATTTAGGAGTAGTTATTAGTTGTGTTAAACTTAAGACTTACATTTAGGAGTATCTATTAGTAAAACCTCTTAAATCACACT